ACATGGCAGATTACTCTGTAAATATTTGCTCAATGTGAATTGAAAACTATAAATAGTGGGGAATAATTTTTTAATCATTTCCTTCTTCTATCCAAAAGTCACGTAATGATTCCAGAGAAGAACATAATGGTTAATTCACAGATGGGTCCTGAAGATCACTTCTGAATCAGAAGCTAAGAAGAAATAAAAAGCCATATTTTAAATGAGAGAAAATACTTTTAAACACCAGCCTGGTCAAAACATTTATTCTCTGGCTTGGCTAAGAGTCGACATTCCTGAATTTCTTTGGAAGACTAGTAATAACAACAAACACTTACTGAGCACTCTTTATGCACTAGGTACTGTCCTAAGTGCCTGACACATATTTAATCCACACAAAACCTCTAATATTTCCATTTTCCATGTAAGAAAACTGAGGCAGAGAGAAGTACACAATTTGCTGAAGATCATACTACAAATAAGAGGTAGAACCAAGATTTGAATCAAAGCAGCCTATATCTAGAGCCCAAGTTCCTAATTACTATGCTGGAGAACCAGAGAGAGGTGGCAGAAAGCACTCACTCGGCATGCTCACATTCACTAGCTAAGTCCCTGTCGGCTAGTCCCTTCACCTCTCTGGCCCCATTTCCTTATTTTTGGATCATTTCTAAGATCTGGATCATTTCTTGGGTCTTTCATAGCTCGAAAATTCTCTGACTCTAAACTTCCTGCCTGACAGGCATCAATTTTCAATAATTTCTTATTGACCTTCTCCTTTCTGGAGCAGCTGGTCCAAGAACATGACAGCGCATCTTTGTCAACTCACTTGATTACTAGCTTTGTCAGCACCACAGTAGGACCTGAAGACCTAAGTGTCAGGAGAGATTACCTTTCCCACTCATACTCCATAGCTGCACAAATACCATCCCCTCAGAAAACCACCACAGTGAGCAGTCTCCTTATGCTTCCATGTGCTGGGCACAGCACTCTGGTATGGGATGGACTGTCACATATGGGAGAGACCAACAGGAACAAAATTAAACTCCCACACCATTAGAGTACAGGACCCTCTAAGCACCCAGGAGGTAGTCAGGGAGATTCATGCATGGAAGGGGTGGTTGAATTAGACATCCACTGGAGCTCTTTCCAACTCTGAGATTCCATTCTAATTATATTTTAAGGCCAGTTTTAAAAATTTAAGTAGTCATAAGTCAACCATTTCAAATGGATAAGTCAATGCATAGATATTTTCCCATCTATAAAATTAATAATTACACTTAATTTACTAGTACATGGTCTTTGATTTTTTCCAGTGAGCCATTGATCATCCACAGAGAAAAAATTCTTCTCACCTGATACAATAATCATAGAGTAAATATAACATTTCCCATATATTAAAAGAATAGTATATGTCAAATTACCTTAGGTCTTTACATATAACATTCCATTTAGTCATCACAGCAACACCATGAAGTAGGGACTATTATTATTCCCATTGTATAGACAGAAAACAGAGGCACAGAAAGGTGAAGTAACTTGCCATAAAGTAACAAGTTTGGAAAAGTAACAAAGCTGGAACTTGAACGTAGAACCTATGTCCTCAACCACCGTGCAGATCATCAGATATCATGACATCAGGAAACTAGAGCCATAGCTAGCTTACTCTTCAGAGTGAGGTGAGAGGGAGCTCTGTGGTTTCCACCCTGAAATCTGCCAGGAGGCTGCTTCCTTGTGATGCACAAAAGAAGAGGAGAGCAGTGGGAAAAGCAGTAAGTCTGTGTGGATGTAAATGCATATAGGCAGCCTGCAATGCAACTGGCCTACTGCTCCTCATGGGATTGTAAATACAACTGCACATGCTTTTCTAAGCCTCACTCTCCAAGGACCTCAGAGAATTCTCAGTCTAAGAAGGAAACCTATGATCTCTCCCAAAGCCACCGAGCAACAATAGAAGTCAATAGGGGCACTATTACAGCAATAAAAGTAATCCCTTATACAGCATTTATCATGTGCCAGGCATTGTTCTAGAACTTGATAGAGGTTAACTTGCTTGCTCCTAACAATAGCCCAATAAAATCAGTACTATTATTATCCCCATTCTACGGATGAGGGGTCTAAGGCACAGTGAGGTTGGTTGCTTGCCACGGTCATAACAGTATATAAGTGGTGGACCAAGATTCAAACCCAGGCTACCTTGCTCCAAAGTCCATGTTATTAATAACCTACAATTAATAACCTACAATACTCCCTCTGACATCTGTTCTTTCAAGGAAGAAACTAAAGTCCTGGAACCCAGGCTACCTTGCTCCAAAGTCCATGTTATTAATAACCTACAATTAATAACCTACAATGCTCCCTCTGACATCTGTTCTTTCAAGGAAGAAACTAAAGTCCTGAACAAAATCAAAGCAACTGTGTTTTATCACTAGGAAAATAAAATCACATAGGTTAGGCTGGAAAGAATTTTAATGAGCTTCTATTCCTTCACTTTCATATAGAGAAATCAAAACCTAAAGAGGTGAAGTGATTTGCCAACCAAGCCAGGACAAATCCCAGGTCTCCAGTGTTCCATGTTGATGGCTTTCCCATATTATTTTCTAGTCTCTCTCCTCAACAGGTGTTTTGTTGTTGTTTTTAACAAATTCAAATTTTGGCCCTGAACTGTTCAAAATATTCCAGCTACTTGCCTTGTACTGCATCTTCATCAACAACTAAACAGCTGATCTGGGTTTTATTCAACTGAATCTTTAATAATCATCAAGTTTCATCTAAATTGTGGCTTCTGTTTCTGAGATGAGATAGTACTTTCTGAAGCACCATATAAATATCAAATTCAAAGCTCTTTCCACCTAAGTACCTGGGAAATAGTACAGTGGAAATTTTTATTAAAATTTTCACCTCTTCATCCAATTAACTTGCTAATATGACAGAAAAAAAGTAGCACCATTATCACAGATGTGGATACACCTTGAAGTTGAAAGATTGTTCATCTCACTCAGTCACAGAATTCAGACAGATCCTAGATAACATCTACCACCAAAGAGAAGTCCAACTCTTCTGCAACCTTTCTGATACATGGCCATCTAGCTTCATCCTGTATCCAC